TTGCCACTGCGAGTTATGATATTGCTTGCTCCAAATGCTGTCTCTTATACACATCTAGATGTGTATAAGAGACAGCACACACACACATACACACACATGCGGGGCAACTGCCCGTTGTTTTTTTGCTACGAGTTTCTTTTTTTTTTTTTTTTTTTTTTTTTTTCTTGATTTTCCTCGTCTTTTTGGTTTTTGATTTTTTTTTAAATCCTTCCAAACGTGAAAAAAAAAAAATCAAAAAATGGGGTTGTAGATTTTTTCAAGATCTACAACCCCATTTTTTTTTGTTTTTTTTTTTGTTTTTTTTTTGGCCCCCTAATCACGTTCGTACGGCCATCGTCCGTACGGCCGTACGGGCGTCCATACGTCCGTACAAACGGGCCGTACGGAGACCCCCTATACGACGTACGGGGGACGACACAGCTTGTAGGCATATCACAGTTCTGCAATGACATAATGACACGCTCCGAGAGCTCAGAGTCATTGTTGTACGACCCGGATGACTTCACGCCGTGGATAGAAGAAAACCTTCGACGGAGATTTCCCTGTCTAACGGAAAATCGGTTGTGTCCTAGGGAGTTTCATTGCGCTACCACCAGCGACCCCGGTGCTCTGATTTCCCCACTTCAGACCACACCCACTACTTTATCTCCCCTGGCTTTGTTGTGATTTCCACTAGCTTCCCTCCCTTCTGTTTTCTTCTCCTATATCACCAACTCAAGGTCATCCCGTGGAAAGCCATAGCCCCCTACTGGCCCAGCACGCCTTGTGGAAATTGTCGACAACGCACCAACAAGAGAACCTCGGGACCGCGAGGGCCCAACCAGAACGTGCGGCGACCGGCGGCACGTGGCGACACCCGGCGACCCAACTCATCGGAATCACACCCACCCCGAAGAGACCTTCCGATGAACCGCCGTCCTCAACACCGATGGATCGCACAACCATAAACGAGCGCATGCCATCTGCCTTATGATCCGAAGTGATCCGCCCTCTCTGCCAAATTGCACCCGTGCCCCTGAACAATTCTGCCGCAGGAGATCTCAGTTCTGACCTGGAACTCTACCCCCACTTTCCCAAAAAATCCTTGGCACACCCCTTTTCGCACTTCCAGACCCACATTCTACTCCGATCAGGAAGTCGCGTTGGGCATGAGGTTGGGCGTCATAGGGGAGGACATAGCATAGGAGCAGG